GCATTGATAATACTAACAACAAATACAGAGGTGGGCACAGAGTTAGTACACAGTTTTAAAGAAAAGTACTTTTCAGAAAAATTAGGAATTGAATCATGTCATAATTCATTTGACCGAAAGGAGGTGGTGAATGCTACTTTAGTTGATTTAAAAAGTCACTTTTCTGAAGTATAATTTACAAGTAGCAAAACTCACTCTTTTTGGTGTATATTTGTACATGCTTTGATAAAGTCAAGAGACACAGGATCTACCACCACCAACCTCATCACTCAATTTAATGTTAGCTTTGTAGTGCTAAATGTACTTAATAATTCTACTACTTGATCTGACAGCTTTAAAGAACATTCCATAGTACCTATTATTAAAGATAAAGCAATTAAAATGTAAATACTTCTACCTGCCACCTGCATTCCCTTTCCAATTTTTGTGAGATGCAGTATTTGACACTGTTAGTATATAAAACATTTATATTCTATGTTGTCATCCTAAAATATACGTTTATTTTAGTCTTAATTGTAGTTGTAAAAACACCCATTGGTTATAACCAATATTTTCCTACTTTTCCTCCTCATCTCTTATTGGCTGCATGTAAAACATTACAATTCCTGACACACAATTAGTGCTTAGTAAATATTCGCTAGAAATAGCAGAAATCACTGCTAGTAGAACTGCTTTCACTAACTTTGCAAAATTAGTTTTCTTAGAAGGGTAGTAACTATGTAACTTTAAAATATAGTGGAATTGCTTGATGAATAATGGGGTAGATGAACATCCAAGTTATCATCTGTGTTTTATAAAGCCTTTACTGCTTATCATAATATGTATGATGAGACATAAATCAAACTTAAATTCATGTAAAAATAAATTGTGGTCCCATCAGGTTTGTATGGGCCTTCAATATTCCCTCTCATAATGTGTTCATTCTTTCTACAATCTTTTTTTTTTTTTTTGAGACAGAGTCTCACTCCGTCACCAGGCACCAGGCTGGAGTACAGTGGCACGACCTCGGCTCACTGCAACCTCCACCTCCTGGGTTCAAGCAATTCTTCTGCCTCAGCTTCCCAAGTAGCTGGGACTACAGGCACGCGCCACCACGCCCAGCTAATTTTTTTGTATTTTTAGTAGAGACAGGGTTTCACCATGTTGGCCAGGATATTCTCGATCTCTTGACCTTGTGATCTGCCCGCCTCGGCCTCCCAAAGTGCTGGGATTACAGGCGTGAGCCACAGTGCCCGGCCTCTATAATCTTTATACTACTAATTATTTGGTAAATCTTTCCTTCAGAAAAACAAAGAAAAACTTTGCTTTGCAATAAAACAATAAGCATAGAAATGACCAGTGATATTAATCAAGACATACTCAAATACACAAATAGATTAAACTACTTTGCGTTACTCTTTTCTAAATTTTCTTTCTTCCTCTTGATTCTGTTAACAAACAACATTCAACAGCGCTGCTTAAGGAGTTAATGCTGACCTCTCTTAAATACATCTCCTTATTATCTTACCACTAACGTAAGCCATATAAAAGTATAGAAAGAGTTAGATATATGAGCTTCTACTTTATCCCTCTGATGATAAGAAATAGCTCTGCCATTGTTCACATTGCTGTGGGTTCCTAATGAATTTCACGGAGAATTCAATTCAAATGTACTAAGTTGCTGTTAGTTCCTTCGTAAGATTAATTCAGGCAGGTCTGGAAACAGTTACTTGGATCTTCCCTAGAACTTCAAGGCAATAATCACATTTTAAAAATACATTTTGGCCAAGAGCGGTGGCTCACGCTTGTAATCCCATCACTTTGGGAGTTTGAGGCATATCATGAGGTCAAGAGATAGAGACCATCCTGGCCAACATGGTGAAACCCCGAATCTACTAAAAAATACAAACTTAGCTGGGCATGGTGGCGTGTGCCTGCAGTCCCAGCTACCAGGGAGGCTGAGGCAGGAGAATCACTTGAATCCAGGAAGCACAGGTTGCAGTGAGGCCAGATCACACCACTGCACTCCAGTCTGGCGACAGAGCAAGACTCCGCCTCAAAAAAAAAATATATATATATATATATAATGATATATCATATATATAAAGATTTTAGAAGGGAAACAAGGCTTATTCCCTAAAATGTTTATATATATTATATAAAATATAATATATATAATATATATATATAAACATTTTAGAAGGGAAACAAGGCTTAATAAAAAGAACATGAATATTGGAGGCAGGCAGATCTGAATTGAAAAAAAAAAAATCAAGGTTTGCCATTTAATATGTGTCATCCAGGACACTTTTAGAAGACTGTTTCTAAAATCTCACAGGGCTATCATGAGGATTACGTCTAATAACATGAATGAAGGTATACTGTTTGGCAGCAGTAGACAGTCAACAAATGATGGATAACATTTTTAAGTCATTAAATGTTACAATTTGTGTATCCCTAATCTGAAAATCTGAAATCTGAATTTGAGCACTGACATGAACCCAAAGGAAATGCTTACTGGAGCGTTTCAGATTTCAAATTTTCAGATAAGGATGCTCAACCGGTAAGTATAATGCAAAGACTGTACTTCAAAATCCCCAAAACACAAAATCTGAAACACTGAAGGTCCCAACCATTTTGGATAAGGGATATTCAACCTGTAATAGTCATTAAAAAAACAAAACCATTGCAATCATAGGAAGTTATAGCCAATTGTTGCAGGGTAAAATGTATCTAAAAATTCTATCCAGGTTCTTGACAGAGATTGGGAACATATCTTGAAATGGTTGCAGAAAATAAAGTGATAAAATGGGCACATTTTGAAAAAGAAAGGTAATCAATTTAAATGCTATTATAAAAAGAACTCTCTTGTTCTGGAGAATTTTCTCTGTTCTTTATGTTATGGCCTTACTGATTTTTAACTGTACCAGAACTGCCAAAGTAATTTCGTAGAACTTGGATGGTAAGAGGCATAACTATGGTGAAGTCCTTTATATCATTAGTGTGAAATGCCTCCCCCTTTCATGTTTTACCAACTGTATTCTGACCATGGAAACTATTTGCTGATCTTGAAACTTTGAGAAAGGTAAGATGCAGGGAGGTAAGTGAAGGAGGACAGATGCCGTTCAATTCAGTTTTAGTGATTGTTTTAATGATTCAATTCCATAAACATGTATGATGCTCCATCTACATCCCAGAAGCAGTGAAGCTCATTTAAGAGTTAAAGCTAAACAAACATAATCCCTGTCCTGAAAAACAATTATTTTGTCTGTCTACAATTTCTCACAGCAGAAGGTCTGTAAAAACAGAATCTCACAGTAAGTATGCAGAGTTAATATGATTAAATGTTTTCCAGAAACATAAAAAGAAAGCCTTCCAAATTTATTAGGATCCATTTAGATGAGGATTGGGTATATTGCACTTTTAAAACTTATTAGAAACCAGTCACTACTTTAAATATTCTCACAAAATCACAGAGAAGTCAGGCTTTTTACATATTTAGTGAAGTCAAGAATAATCTCCAATTTAGTATGAAACATGCCATTGGCAAAAAAGGGAAAAAAAATGACATGAGGATTAAAAATAAAAAGGGGTTTGTTAGATTTGAATTTGAGTATCTAAAAGCTTCTAAACCCTAGTCTTTAGATATTTATTTTTTTAAATTGTACTTTAGTTTCTGGGGTACATGTGCAGATCATGCAGGATTGTTGCATAGGTACATACATGGCAAGGTGGTTTGCTGCCTCCATCCCCCCCCATCATCTATATCTGGCATTTCTCACCATGTTATCCCTCCCCAACTTCCCCACCCCACACTGTCCTTCTCCAGTCCCTGGCAATAGACCTCAAGTGTGTGATACTCCCCTCCCTGTGTCCATGTTTTCTTATTGTTCAACACCCGCCTATGAGTGAGAACATGCGGTGCTTGATTTTCTGTTCTTGTGTCAGTTTGCTGAGAATGATGGTTTCCAGATTCATCCATGTCCCTACAAAGGACATGAACTCATCGTTTTTTACGGCTGCATAGTATTCCATGGTATATATGTGCCACATTTTCCTTGTCCAGTCTATCATCAATGGGCATTTGAGTTGGTTCCAGGTCTTTACTATTGTAAACAGTGCCATAATGAACATTCGTGTGCATGTGTCTTGATAATAGAATGATTTATGATCCTTTGGGTATATACTCAGTAATGCAGTTGCTGGGTCAAATGGAATTTCTATTTCTAGATCCTTGAGGAATTGCCACACTGTCTTCCACAATGGTTGAACTAATTTACACTCCCACCAACAGTGTAAAAGTGTTCCTATTTTTCCACATCCTCTCCAGCATCTGTTGTCTCTAGATTTTTTAATGACTGCCATTTTAACTGGCGTGAGATGGTATCTCAATGTGGTTTTGATTTGCATTTCTCTACTGACTAGTGATGATGAGCATTTTTTCATGTTTGTTGGCTTCATATATGTCTTCTTTTGAAAAGTGTCTGTTCATATCCTTTGCCTATTTTTGAATGGGTTTGTTTTTTTTTCCTGTAAATCTGTTTTAGTTCTTTGTAGATTCTGGATATTAGCCCTTTGTTCGATGGGTAGATTGCAAATATTTTTTCCCATTCTGTTGGTTGCTGGTTCACTCTAATGATTGTTTCTGTTGCTGTACAGAAGCTCTGGAGGTTAATTAGATCCCATTTGTCTATTTTGGCTTTTGTTGCCAATGCTTTTGGTGCTTTAGTCATGAAGTACTTGTCTATGTCTATGTCCTGAATGGTTTTGCCCAGGTTTATTAAAGGGAGCTTTTTACAAAAAGCATTCTTGAGAATACCATTACCTTGGAGTCCTGCATATCTTATATAATATTCTTTCAACAATATAGTAAACAAATGTCTTAAATCTTCTTGTAATGCAAACATCTTTCATCTCTATTGGGAATTTTCTCAGCCATGCATAGTTTATTTGAAATCCAAAGGTTCATTTGGTTCTGCTAGACTAAAATAAGATTATTAAAACCAGAATTTGATACTCACCTGAGCCTCCTTTTGCCAAGTATTTGTTCTTTGCATAAAGGACAGAATCTAACATAGACTCAAACAGAAGAAAGTAACCCTGCATAAAAAAGGGGAAAAGAAAAAAAGAGTTTAGAAGAGTGCAATATCCTCATAGGCAGGTCAATTTAAATATTGGTGCTACCATTTATTATTATTATTATTATTATTATTATTATTATACTTTAAGTTCTGGGGTACATGTGCAGAACATGAAGGTTTGTTACATACGTATACATGTGCCATGGTGGTTTGCTGCAACCATTGCCCCATCATCTACATTAGGCATTTCTCCTAATGCTATCCCTTCCCCAGTCCCTTACTCCCCTGTTAGGCCTCCCCTAGCCACCCAGGGACTAATCTATTAATTACAAAACAATTTTTGCTTCTGCCATATATTTAATAGTATTCTGCAAAATCTGAAACTATATTTTTACAGTAAAAGTCATTAGAAAATCAGGCCAGCTTATAAAGTGAACCAAGAAAGTTTATTGGGGTAAAATATACTGAATCTTCTTTATCTATGATTCTACTTTCCAGACTACTGTTTCTTCCTCATTAAAGAAAATTCAGATACAAATTATTAACAAGCCCTATAACTCCCCAGAATGATGCAATATCCATCTCAAGCAGTGGTTCTCCACTTGATTTTGCCCCGCTGGGGAACATGTGGCAAGGTCTGAGTCATTTTTGATTGTCACAGCTGGGGGTGGGGGGTGAATAAGATGCTACTGGCATCTATTGGGTAGAGCCAAGGAACGTTGGTCAACATCCTACAATGCACAGGACAGCCTCTCACAAAAAAGAACAACCTGGTCCAAAATGTCAATAGTGCTAAGGTTGAGGAGTTCTAGTCTAGAAAACCATTTCCCAAATAATTTCCTGTCTAGTGACTTTCTTTTCGGTATATTAAAGAAAAAAAAAAAAAAGAAAGGGGAGGGACCCTTAGTCAAAGAGGTTTAAGAAACACCAGCTGCCATATCTCCCATTATAGATTCATAATGCACATGAACACACAAAAAGTTCTGGGTAGTTGTTATGGTGAAGAGAACTGCTTAACATATTTTAAGTATTACCTACTTTCTGACTGCAGACCTTTTTTCCTATTTAACATCTATCAACACCTTGCAGAACTAGTGTTTATGGAAATACAATTCATGAAATATGATCCTGGTATACTACTGGTTTTAGAGTATGATAATGAATCCTACACCAAGAAAGGATAATAATATAGTACAAATGAAAAAATAATTTGTCACTATTGGTGTCACAAATATACTAGATTCTTTTTTTTCCAAATATACTACATTCTAATACTACACTTCACGGTTTATTATATAAATGACAAATATTCATTACTGAGAAATCACTACCAGTTTCAGTCAGTCTTTCTGCTTCTAGGGTCCAACGCCTCAACTGCTCAAAGCAGCAGGAAAAGTCAAGTGCTCGGCACACAGAACACCTTATTGCTTACGGTGAACCAACATGAATTTTACCTTTTCTTTAGCATTCTATACCAAAACTGTTCTCATCCGCTCATTTGTTCTGTGCACAGATAAATGCCCAGTGGGGTAAGTATAATATTCTTTAGCCACATCAACAAAAAATATTTTAAAGGTTTTTCTAGAACAAGAAAAACCGCAAACCCAGAACAGATAATCTTCCCAAGAGATTAACAGCAATTTTAATGTATAGAAAATATAGCTCTCATGCTTGAATAAAGGAACTCAACCGAATTGCTAGCAACTCTACATTGGTGTTGACCTATTCTTCCCAACCTACCAATTCACTGATTTGAAAATAACTGCCTATGAAACAGAGGCTTAGGAACAAAGCTTGTTTACTAATGTGTTACTTTAGGAAAATTAAGGATTTGGCGGAAACTTGTTTTTCTGGATAGGGTACTTCAGTAATATGTCAAACTTGGGTTATGCAAATAAATGCTTATTATAAATAGGCACTCAACTGTTACTTATAGTGAATTATAATTTATGCCAAGGAATTATTAAATGGAAGGCATCTAACTTATGAGGAAAAGACTGGCTGGTAAAACTATTAATAGATTTGGTGAAAAAAAAAAGTCCCTATTTGCAATATTGCTGTGTTTTAAAACTTAAAATAAATAAAATTCACACTTTAGTACACATTAAATACAAAGGCCAAAAAAAGTTTAAGTATTGATTTGCCACTGTCAAATTGCTTTCTAGTATTCTAGCTCTATCTTTCAGCTCAGCTGTTACCTTATCAAAAATAACTTCTCTGATGCTCCTACGTAAAATATCCTTTTTCTTTCACTAAGCTCCATTTTTTTAATCCTGCTTTGTATTTCATCATAGCACTTATGAATTAAAATACTATTTATTTGCTTTTATTTTGTCTCCTTACTAAAACGTAAGCTCCAAGATCAAGGACTTTGGCATATTGTTTGAGGCTATATTCCTGAGGGCTGAAAATGTGTCTGGTACATAGTAGGAATTCTATACATAACTTTAAAATGAATAAATAACGTTCGTTATTAATGTTGTATGTGTGTAATACATTTGTTAAAATGAAACTTCTTGCTTTTTGTTATTTTTGTAGTACAAATTAAAATGTCATTTTAAAATAGTATTTTGTTTTCTAAAATTAAAACTGACAATAGTGGTGATAATTGTTAAGATTATTATAACGCTTCTATAAGAATTATTTCATTTAATTCTTCCCCAAAGCACCATTTATTGTCATTCCAATTTAATTTATTTATGTTAAGTAAGTTGAGATCTAAAAAAATAGTTCACAGTTACACAAACGGGAAGTGAATAAGACAGAATTTGAACCATGATCTAACTACAAAAGTTCTGAATCACTCTTTTATGTTGCCTCTTAAATTGATTTGCCTAATTGAAAATAAGATTTAGTAGGTGTATTACACTACATTTGTAGTTAAGGATTCAAGCATTCCCAAAACGAAAAATTTTCCATAGACCATATTAAAAAGATTAGAATTTACAACAGGTATGCGATCATTTCAGAGTAGTATCTCAGTTGGCAACTGGCTCTTAGCCACCATTTACAGTGAAAATATTAGTTTCGAAAAATCAATGCACATACTAGAATATATACAGAACTAATATGACATTCGTGAGATAAAATACCCAGTTAAAAATATTAGTAGATGAAAAGATTCATATATGTATTGCTAAGGGGTCATTGTCCTTTTTCTCAACTTTCCACTTTGCTAAACTTCATTTTACGACAGGCTCCCTATGTGATACAACAGCCTTTAAATTCCTGGGAATCGTCCTTGGTTCTGAACCAAGTCATTTATTACTGATATCAGAAGGCTTTGGTCCAAATGCCCTGCTCATCTGCAGTGTAATTCAGACTGTAATTTCACAGGCTGCTACCTCACCTGTAGGGGTGCCATCTGGAAGGAGAATCACACCTGATATGTTCTACCATGATACTCATGGGCATTCTTCTTTCAATAGTGACATTTACTTTAAAAAAATTAAATACTGCACTTATACTTTATTACTAAAAAGGAACATATGGAATTAAATCAGGGACTAGAATATTAACGTCATTCACTGAAGTGGGAATCTTATTTTTAAAACGGCTGCTCATGATATCTTCTTGGATTAGAAATATTAGTGATAAATGAATTTTTTGACACCTTCAGTATAAGGTGTTTTCTAACTTTTTTAGTTCAAATAACTGAATTACTGGTACACCTCTAGGCAAAATTTGATTAAAGGAGAGTTAAGAATAAAATGGAAGAGTTAAACTGAAGGATGTTAGCAAAGAATCAATAATCTAAAATATTTAAAGATAAAAGATTACCTGCAACAAATACAGAAGGCTACACAATCTAATCATAATTTCCAAGTAGTATATCTCTGAATCATAGTAAGTATTTGATAACATTTTTTCCAATATTACTCCCAAATTCTGTAACATTCACTGCAGACAGAATTTTTTTATGTGACTGGAGCTAGCAGTCAGTTATTAACTGGAAACAAGACATTTTAAGTAAAAACAAACAGATTTGTTTGCCAGCATTTTTTGAGGATATATCCACTGACAGAAATCCTCAGCATCTTCCCTGTCTAAACCAGATTTTAGATAATATCCAAGTTTGGTTATTTTAAATAGAAAAAAAACAAACGTATGAGCATTTGCCAAGTGAAGAATTCTCCTGGAATTCCATGATTTCTACCCTCCTACTCCTAGTCTTCAAACTAGGAGACCTAGTCTTCAAACTAGGTGAAGGAAACTCAGGAAGGAGAAAACACTAAACAAATGCTGTGCAATGGAGTGGGTAAAACAATTTGTTTACAGACAATTTACAACTGTTTGTGAGTAAAACAATTTTACTTACTCCATTCCACAGCATTTGTTTAGTGTTTTCTCCTTCCTGAATTTTTCCAAAGTAGTCACTTTGGTTTGCATGGAAAAAAACCAACTGTATCCTTTATATAGTCTTGTCAATAATTTGTGTTCCTATTAAACTGATTTTACATAAATAAGCAGGCAAACAAACACAATAAGCTCTTGGTAAACAATGCCAACTGAGAGAAGCAGAGCAGTGGCAGCATGCTGAAGGTGGGTTTATGTGTTCAGAAAGAGCCACAGGAACCTAGCAATGTGTTATATAAAAAGAACGCAGAACATCACGAATTTGGTGAATTAGTTAAACGCAGGTTGGTTATGGAATCTGGATTTCACAAAATACAAAATACACCGTCATAATGTCACCTCTCCAAGAAAATCTTCCTTGATGTCCCATACCAGGTCAGTAGCCTTTATAATGTGACCCAAATTACAAGCTGACTTACTATCAATGCATAAAAAAGATCATTCTAAAGCAGAGTTTCTCGATATTGGCACTAATGACATTTTGGGCCAGAAATCTTTATTTGTAGGGGCTTTCCTGTCCATCGATGGATGTTTAGCAGCATTCCTGGGCTCTACCCACTGCACCATTATCCCCACCCAATCCACAGTCCCAAATTCTAACAATTTGAAATGTTTCCAGTGATTGCTCATGACTCAAATATCCCCAGGAGTGTGAAATTGTCT